AACTGTTGCAGTTGTGGCTGTTACTCTACGTTTAGTAATCACAAATTAACTTGAGGATAACTGATGCCTCATCGACAGTATGCCCATAGTGAGTGAAATAGAGCAGGAATCTCATTACAACCATTCACCGTGAGCGGTTGCTAGCAAAAATTAACAAATCGTAGGATGGACAGTGTGCAGATGGTGGGTAGGTGCAAAGGGAGGCACACTAACGGACAAGAAAGCAGCCCTTCAACAAAGAGGCAAGCTTATCGATCAATCGAGCCTGTGTACACGGTTCATATGATGCACCTCAAACAGTGCAAGTGGGAGAATTTTCCATTGACTTGTAGTGTGGATGAGCTCAGAAATCAATGGCAGCATTCCTCCATGCTGTAGCGCGAAAATTCATATTCAAATAATAGACGAGAAAAGAATGACCTTAATATAAAGGTTTGATGCCCAATTTTTTGCAGTAAACAATTATATTATGCTGTTTTACGGAATTTCCACCTTAAAATTATTCAGCATGCATGTAAAGAAGAGAAAACAGTTTGGTGTGTGAATGCAAACAAGCGCCCCGTTGCGATGGACGAAACATGGTAAAAGAGGACGTTTTGATGAATGAACGGCTGCCAGAGTGAAAGATGTGGGTGTACTTGGCTACAAAACAATAAGTATGTATGCTGCGCTCCCACCATAAACATTTAGAAATTACGGCTGAAAACAACTATTTATCCCTTATATATAAGAACTCAAAGTCGTTCACTAAAACAAAAGTAATTTGTTCTCGGTAACACAAATATAATTTGATGCATTAAGCTGTTAGCAACATTGTAAATTCAATTTAAATGTGCTTTCACGCCATCGATTTTCAAAAAGCCCTACGTTAAATCCATTTGGAATATAGACTGGTGGAATGGTTGGCGGCATCCGGTTTCGGATTTGTCTGTCACTGTGGCAAGCCACAGGACGTCTGCGCCTACAGAGAGACCATGGGTGGCTTGCGCTGCACCACCCACTGCTCCAACCACACCCCATATCCAGTGTAAACCCGAAGGAATAAGACAGGGAGGCATGTGGATCGGAGCCGCGTTTCATCAACGGAGCCGGCCCACACTCCTTCAAAGGCAAACACAAGCAGGCTGTAGTTGGGGAATCAAGCGCACACAAGGCAGTGGCTGGACCGTAGTCCGCTCCACATTGAGTGCATGGAACCGCTGCTGGAATACTACTGGTGGAATATTACCCAAATTAATGTCATCCATGCACGCAATATGAGGAATCAGTGGAAGAGAGCCAACAGACTACTGAGTAAGGCGGTATGGACTGAGTGGCCATAGCGACAATATGTATACTAGTTCCTGATGCCAAGCCTTGTCCTCTGCACAGTTCGTAACTGACATTGCAGCGGAAGATGGACCGATCTATAGCGTAGTAAAAAGCAGTCATGCAGGTCCGTCGTCATCAACCAAGGCTTAGTGACACAAGCTGCTGGCATCCGGAAGTCATGGGATCGGAAGCCAGCAGGGGTCCGTGGAACGCGCATAACTGACGAAACCAAGAAGGTCAACACAGCTGTCTGGTGCTTTTCCAGGCATGTCGGTGATTGTCTGGCTGTGGGGGAGTGCGACGAACTACCTATGAAAACATACAAAAATCCCCACTACTCATGGTTGACAATATGTGTTGTTAACGCAAACCAGACGGAAAATATCGTAATGCAGGTGCTTTACGTGAGAAGAAGTAGCTGAGCGATAGAGCCAGGACTGCACGCAGCAACGCACACATGGACTGGTTGCAAGCTATCTAACCCATCCCATGATTGCAAGGCATGGATGTTAAAAAATTCAACTGCGAACATGTTAATGAGGGCGCAATATCGTCAATCCCGTGTGGAAACATCGATTTTGTGACGGGAAGACGCGCAGTCATGCGTGGAAAAGAGTTAGCATGGGAGATTCGTCAGAGAATCTCGTGGCAATATCCTGGCCGTCGTTGTGGACATGCTTTTTGAGCACGTGTAACCCATACTACAAGAAGAGGTCTAGTGTACCAGGTAAGTGAACTGACCAACCACCTCGAGTTCCTCGCAATCAAGGTTTTAGGGATCATCAAGCGACTGCTGGACCTGCAACAGCACCTCAATCTGAAGGTGCGAATGGCATACCTGATGTTTGGATCCAAAGACACAGGTAAAGGAGCCCGAGCATGTCTCCATCCTGGGTCTAATGATACTGACCGACATGACTGAGATTCGCGCCAAGATAACATCGTAGGTTGGATTTTCCACTTCGGATGCCACTTGTCACGGATGGCGAATTTTTACTCAACACTAGAGGGTTTTATAGCGAAGAAAAATAGGTATAATAGCCTCGTAGCATTTGGTTGACCTCTGAGTCGAATTCTGGACCAGAAAACAAGGCCCGGAAGTTCGATGCAAAGATGCTTGTATTCGCGGAACGCAACGTTTGGAGCGAGTCACACAGAAACTATTCACACAAATGAAGTAAACACTGTGGTATGCGTGAGAACATAAGCTGCGACCACCTTAATGCTATTAGGTGATAACAAGTGATTAAGCATATGCAATAAGCGACCGCTATACTTGTATGGCAAACAAGATCTTGATTTAAAAGAACCAGAACTCAAGCCTTCTGGTAACCGATTGTAACTACTACCAAAAGGTTTTTTCAGTTTGCCTTAAACTGGGCTGCACTGTGGGGTACAGTTACTTGTTCTCCATACACGGTGGTTAGCGAGTCTGGGTTCGGCTCCAAGGGCATCAGTAGTACGCCGGTAAGAGGTACGGACGCTTCGTTGTCGCGCAACCACCACCGGTCGCACGCGAGCTAAGGATACTGTAAGGGTCGCCCTGACCCTACGCAGGACCGAACCCGTGGCGTCAGATTACAAGACAAGCTTGTTACCTTTAGGCTACGGGCCGGCTCCAAGTCGCACCGCTCAATGACAATAGCACAGAGATGCTCAATCTAAAAGCAATCGATTGTATGCAAACATTGGTGGTTGAGTAGTAGCTATAGGCGTTCGCAACGAAAAACGTCGTGAGTCCACATGTTAGGAGCATCCCATTGGGGAAGCATCAAGCCCACTATGTCAAACACCGCGAGGTGCATTTGGGTCGCCGATGAAGTGCCTACTTGCCATATTCGTGCGTCTAGACTCAACCCATAAGTACGCAGTGAGCTACGGCGCTTCCGGTGCCATCAAATGTAGTTTACGAAGTATCATCGTTTACAAGACTTGAGAACCAGTGCGATGGGATTGAATGTAGCCAACATGGAATCATCATTGCATAACTACTTTCATTCAGTAGCTACGATTCGAATACAGAGAATGCAATAAGCAATATTAAAGTGGCGAAAAGCAGTGGCATATTCAGTGCTGCTCGTTCCCAACACAACATCTCCTAACCGGCTCCTATATGTCTACCTACTTCATGTGGAGGAAAATCTCAGCTGGCACGTGGATTGGGCAGAGATATCTGCCACCGAACCATCGAGCTCCGTGAATGACGCTTGTCATAGCGGTCAGAAGATTGCTTGTTTAGAATACTCGTTATATGTGTGCGAGTGATCTGCGACATGCAATCCCCATGTGAATCACGACTTAATTTGTAGTGGATTGGT